TCAACAGTGCTCTAAGTGATCGAGACCCAACATCCCAAACCCAGACTGCTGATGGCATTTCCTCAACCTTGGTTGCTAGTAGTGTGCCAGAAATATCGAAGGTCATCATATTGGTGCCAGTCTTTGGCTCTGCAGTTGGAATGGCAGTTGCTTCTGGGGGTAATGTCGGCTGTTTTCCTCGAACGAATTCTCGAGTGAAACCTCCATTGGGAGATGGCGAAAATTGTTCATTCCAAATCTGAGAAGTTAGGGTTCGTTGTCTTGGGGTAGAAGGTAGGTTGACGTACGTGTAGCGTATCTGTAGGGTTTACAGAAGGTATGTGGGATAACAACATAGATTCTGAGAACGCTGGAGCAGCCAACAACACAACTCTTCGACTGAAATCGGAAATAGCAATGTGTGTCCCTGTTGGGCTCCATTCGATCATTTTAATTCCGGCGCCTAAAGCAATATCCTTTTCTTCCTCGAGGATCGGGGTCGGGCCATTCCAAACCTTATACAAGTGACCATCGGCTGTATAAAGCAGTAATTTATGGCCTTGGCTAGCAGATTCGCATATTGTTATCCATTTTCCATCTGGGCTCCAAGTTATCTCTTGAGCGTCGATCGTTTCTGGTAGCCATGATCTTATAACCTCCAAGCTTCCCGATTTGTGTATACTAATCACGTCTTTGCCACCAATTCTCGTCAATAGAGCCAAGTTTCCGGATCGCGGACGGTGTGAGAATCCTTTCGCAGCGGTAGCAGGAGTGAAGAGCTTGGGAGAGGTAATATCCACTGACTTCGAAGTAGCCAGATTGAAGATGGTCAACTTCAAACCGAAATCTGAAAAGATACAGACTTCATCGTCGTTTCCTCCAAATGAAATGTAGGTCGATTTCGTAGTTCCTGAGGTCGGTCTTGTAATTTTGGCTGAGAAGCGATTGTCACTTGGGGAAAATATGCGAATGACATCCGCAGACGCTACAAGTAGGCGATTGGAAGAGTATGACCATATGAATGAGGTTATTGAGGCTGTGAGTTCAGGTGGAAGTGATATGGAGCGTATTATTTCAAGGGAGCGCGTCTCTCTGAATTGAAGTGCCGATGGCAGAATAGTCGCAATATATACTCCATTGGGACTCGGAAGAGATTGATTTGATGCTAAGATATATATTCGTATTAATATATGCCTTACAAGACAGGAGTAATTCAACTCTAGACTTACATTTGAGAGGACGAGAGAATCGCATTGTGAACTGAATAGAGGTGAGTGCACCTTTGGTTTCTAACTTTCTACCTACTACCTACTATCTAATACTACCTAAGCTCAAGCTTTGCACAATACCTAGAGATCTGCGGAAGTCCCGCACACAATACCGGTGCTACCGATAACGATAAGCTTTTGATGAGTCAGCTAGGCTATCGCGCGGCAACTCGGAGAATGGACGGAAAATGGCCACTGCCCCTCCAGTTACAATTCGTCTTTACAAATCCATATGAGTCTCGACTATGCTGACAGACTAAAATCTTTGCAAACCCTGAGGATTGAAATGATGTGTCACTGCGACGATAAGGAAGCAAGACTATTCAATACTCAGGGAGACAGGTATAAGGTCACTTGATGAGCGAAATGATTGAAGAGCATCCAACTGTTCTACGCCACCGGTTATTGAAAGCCCAGATATCTTTGATCAAATATATCATCTCGTTCCTTCCATAATATCTTTATTGTAGCGCCTCCTTTCTTCCAAGATGCTTTTCTTGAGAAGAGCTTTTCGAGAAAGGACACTCAGAAGTGGCAGGCTCAACCTGCTATCTCGGAACGCACACAAAGCACTATCCACTGCTGCTTCCTCAATTCATGAGCTCCCTCAGCACGATTTACCTTTGCGCGAGGACACTGAACCATCGTTAAGCAAGACTTCAAATAGAAGGGACGGACTCAAAAATGCCAAACCCTTTTCGTCCTTTCTCACAGATAATTTCCAAAGACAGCACGATTATCTTCGAATTTCAATAACAGAAAAATGCAATCTGCGCTGCTTATACTGTATGCCAGAAGAGGGGGTTCCGCAATCGCCACAGCCAGATCTTCTTACAACACCAGAAATTGTACTTCTATCGTCTGTATTTGTTTCCCAAGGGGTTTCAAAGATTCGTCTTACTGGTGGTGAGCCGACCGTTCGTCGCGATATCTTGCCTCTCATGCAACAGATTGGAGCTTTGCGATCTCATGGTCTGCAGGAGCTCTGTCTTACCACAAATGGATTGAACCTTGCACGAAAGTTGGATAGCATGGTGGAAGCCGGTTTAACTGGCGTTAACTTAAGTTTGGATACCTTGGATCCATGGCAGTTTCAGATTATGACTCGAAGGAAGGGTTTTGAAGCTGTGATGAAAAGTATAGATAAGATACTACATATGAACAAATTAGGTGCTGGCATAAAACTCAAGATCAATTGCGTTGTAATGCGTGGGGTCAATGAAAGAGAAATTATACCATTTGTCGAAATGGGCCGAGATAAAGACGTCGAAGTTAGGTTCATCGAGTATATGCCATTTGACGGCAACAAGTGGAGCCAAGGCAAAATGCTAAGCTACAAAGAAATGCTTGATATCATACGGCAGAAGTACCCGACACTTCGAAAAGTGGCAGATCACAAAAATGACACAAGTAAGACTTACGAGATTCCTGGATTTGTGGGAAAGATGGGGTTTATCACAAGTATGACACACAATTTCTGTGGTACTTGCAACAGATTAAGAATCACGAGTGATGGCAACTTGAAGGTATGCTTATTTGGCAATGCTGAAGTTTCCTTGAGGGATATCTTGAGAAAATCAAATGGCAACCAGCCAATCGACGAGCAAGCCTTTGAGGCAATGAAGCAAATAGAAATGGGTAGGAAACAGGATCTTGGAGATGCGCATAGCCCTCTAGGAAGCTCCTCTAATGAGAGAGAGTTGCTGGAAGTTATTGGCATGGCCGTGAGTCGAAAAAAGGAAAAGCACGCCGGCATGGGCGAATTGGAAAACATGAAAAACAGACCCATGATCTTGATAGGTGGGTAGGTTTTATTTTCGATGGAGATAGGGGCGAACCACACGATGGCATGAAATTATTTGCATATTGGATTGGCGTCAATTCAATACCCTCATGTATTTAATCATTGGTGTTTGAAATTTTACATAACTGCAAGTAAGAATCGGCGCTTCTGCAGTATAACACGTGTTTGAGACTGACATCCAATCCAGGTGACAAATACTATCATGGTCCAAAGACACTCTTTCGAAACATGGGAGGTCGGCCGGCAGGTCAATCCCAAAATATCCCTCTAAACCTCCTACCATTTATACCACCTTCTGCTTACGCACGTCTATACTCCAGCAAAGCTACCCCGGCTCAAATGAATAATATTGACAGTGAAATGGGGAAGTCTTTAATGAACAGTGCATCATCAGATTCGACTCCCTCGCAGGCACACAAACTTACCCACCTTACACAATCCGGCGATGCCCACATGGTATCCATTTCCTCCAAACGGCCAACGAAAAGAACTGCTGTTGCAGTTTGCAGTGTTCACTTCTCCAACAAAGTAGCCATTCCACTCATCCGTGAGAACCGAGCCAAAAAAGGCGATGTGCTGGGAGTTGCTCGTATCGGAGGAATTATGGGTGCCAAGAGAACTTCTGATTTGATACCTCTCTGTCACCCAGTTGCAATTACACATGTCACCATTGACCTACAGATCTCACACGAGAATATATGGGACACAGAACTTTCATCTCCCGCTCCAAGTACATCAATTCCATGGTCTGGCACAGGACAAGGCGATGGGTATAAATGGCCCTCATCTATTCCAGAATCTGTTCCTTGTAATTCATTTGGAAGCGTGGAGGTCACGGCCACTGTGTCATGCGAGGGAAAAACTGGTGTGGAAATGGAGGCACTTACAGCCGCTTCAACCGCGGCATTGACTATTTACGATATGTGCAAGGCTGTGGATAAGGGGATGCGAGTTGAGGGGTTAAGAGTAGTGAGGAAAGAGGGGGGGAAGAGCGGCACATGGATAGAGGGCGTTCACAATAGTGAAAAGTAGAGTAGGGGTGAGGCTGAGTTAACATGAAAGGACAGCAGAAGACATTAGGCCTAATTATCTTTTGGAATTTATTTCAAACAAGCCACGGCTCTAACATTCTATATCAATGATTGGCTCTGACAATGGCATGTGCCGCTCAGGAACGTGGAGTGTACGGAGTGTACAACTTATTGTTGTCCTCTGTTAGAGGTCTAAAGTGCTTCAAATTGTCAAAGATGTCGCAATTCACGTGAATATGGATTTCGGAGGAAGATTGAACGTTTAATTGAACTGTTCCATGACTCAAACCCCAAAAATTATGCATAATCATTCTATTTTGGATATAATCGTATCTGAGTGGCTGATATGGTGTTATTTTTGAGCAACGCTTACTATTTCCTATCCAATTGGCATTCTGGATCCTCCAATGCTACACAATTTTCTTCTTACTTCAAATCCCAAATCCTCTTTAAAATAAAAATTGAAGAGCAAATTTCCACATCGTTAGCAGTGCAACTCTGATTTACGAAATTTACCTAGCTCTGTAGTACTTCTACCAATAACATATTCATGTCATTTGAAGTCGCAATTTAATAGTTTTGGCGATCCTATGTTGAGGTCATCTACAGAGTATAGCTACCTCAAGATCCCACAGAATGTAATATCCCCAGAATCATGACATGCCTTTTTGCGCAGCATGTAACTTTCAAAGCCAAAATCCCATACTGTAGCACTGTCTTTCAGTCATGATATCATTGAAGCCAATGCGTATAACTGGCTGTATCTGCCATTTTTGAAGCTCCAAGTTCAGCCCAATCTTTCTTTTCTTTCAGCAATCTTGTCTTTTGGGAAATTTCCCCTTTACGGTCCTTACCAGTTCATTTTTCTTACATTATTTTTGGGGCGGATTGTAACGTTTTCTTATTCATATACTCATCATGAAGTTCTCACGCGCAGCTGCTCTTTCTCTCCTTTCTGGAATCGGGGCTGCATCTTCAGATGCTAACTGTTCTCCTGTCACAACCACAATCTATCATCCCACTACTATCACTGTCACAGAACCTTCATTCGTAACTTCCACCATTACTCTTGGGGGAGGTGGAGGGCATGGCGAAGCAGAGGAATCTGGTACAACAATATATCAGACTGTCACACTTGGAGGCGGATCTGCTCCCACACCAGTTACCATCACAGCCCCTGCTCAAACAATCACAGTCAACGATGGAGAAACCGTTATTGGAGGAGTTTCCACTTCCACATCGACATCTCTGAAGGTGTTCAAAACTTCTACCCCTATTATAAGTGGAACAGGATCGCTTCTGGGAGCTCAGATCACACCCCTTCCCTCGGCCGGCGCTACCGGAGCCGTCACACAAGTAAACGTGATATCAGGGGTTTCCACTGTCCAAGTCTGTCCTACCGGTGCTACAACTTATGACTGCACAGAGGTTGTTTATGGTTCAGGTGGAGAAATCATTGTAGTTCAGATCATCACTGTTAATGTCACGGTAGATGTCTACGGTGAGGCCAGCACAGTTACAATAACTAAAATCGCCAGCGCTACTTCCACGCCTAGTCTCCCACCTACACACTCGGGAAGCCTTCTCGGAACCAAGACCGGCAAAGCGACCTCTACTGGTAAGCCTACAGGACCACCATACTCATTTGGAAATGGAAGCGAACCTATCTATCCAACGGGAAGTATTAGAACAGGAACTAGCGTCTCACACAAACCCACTGGAACCGGAAAGCCAACCAAGCCAACGCACGTTGTCTCAATTGGCCAAAATGGCACTCTCTCTTTCTCTCCTCAATACATTGATGCGGAGGAAGGAGATACCGTGCGCTTCAATTTCTACCCAACTAATCATACCATAACTTCTTGTGATATTGCGGCTCCTTGCGTTATGAATGGTGTCTACGATTCGGGGTTCAAGCCCGTTTTGGCTAAAAACATGACTACATTTGTCGACTTCCCCGTTACAAACGCCACTAACCCACTGTTTTTTCTTCAGGTATGTATCGGCCCGTTACAGATTCCATCACTCTCACTAATGTCATCTTAGTCGTCAAAAGAATGAGTGTGAGTCAGGCATGGTGTTTGCTATCAATCCTAAATCGAAAACTCAATATGACGAATTCGTATCTGCTGCCAAGGGTAAGAAGACTACCACTACAAGCCATGCACCGACTGGAACAGCATATTCGACCGGTACGGTTAGAGGCACGGGCCTTCCATATTCTCGCAACGGCACTTACTCATATGGACTTCCATCCGGCAGTGTCCGACCCACATCTGCGCACTCTGAATTGGGCATTAGCGTGACCGGCTCATCAAAAGCACCTTTTCCTACTGGAGGGTCAAATACAACTATTAGCACTGGGACTGGGGTACATCATATCGAGACGGGAACAGGGTTCGCACTACCATCGGGCACTTTTATACCATCCGGCAGTATCAAACCATCAGGCAGCATTCGCAGCTCCGGTAGTATTAAGCCATCCGGTAGTATCAAACCATCGGGCAGCATTCGCAGCTCTGGGCTTCCACACTCATCGGGTTCCTTCAGACCAACTGGAAGTATTAGCGGCAGTGGCCATGCATCTTCAACGGGAAGCGCGAAGACAACTATCGTCTCAAGCAGCTCATCTTCAGTCACAAGCAAAACTAGCTCACCGTCACACTCAACTACTAGCAGTTCAAGTTCGTCTTCACACTCGACCACCAGCAGTTCTAGTTCGACCATCACCACTACCTCTTCAATTCACGGTTATGTCCCCTACAGTTTCTCTACTCCCGTCGCTTCATATGTCGCTCAACCTTATCGAGCGTAAACTGAAGGTTTGATGGAAGTCATGAGGAGGATTGCATATTTTGAGAGCTAAGAAGCTAAGTGGCGCGGGCGCAGGCGCAGGCGCAGACAGAATTGGATTTGATTGGTGTTACTTTCTTATTTGGCCCTTGCCTTTGTTTTTCGTGTATGCGATATGTAGAATTTATTTCGAAAATCAGACTTTTGTTTATGCTGTACTACCAATGTATGTGTTACTTACCAGAATTTTCTCCCATGGTTTTACTGTGCATATCCCGGCAATGCTAATTGTTGTCGATTAGGACAGCCACAGGCTTCAACTGCCATAAACAAATAGATATGGTCAAATGATATGCATATCCCCAGATCAACCAAAGATCGAAATTCCTATGAATCAAGCAAATGATGTCAACGTTCCTGGTTGCTCAATATCCATCATTTCCCTGATACCTCACCTCAACCTTGAACAATATTCGAATGACAAATCGCTCAAATTGCCTGGCAAATGTCAATGATACCAAAATCCTCAAGTAATCAATCTCCGGGTAATCCAGAGGAAGTGCCCGCTCAAGTCGATAGATTATCAAGTTCAAATCCCCTGAAAATATTCATTCTGGTCCTTCTAGCTGTCCTCGATCAGAATTCAACCCTTGTCACAGTTTCTTTCTTCTCAATTGTGTCAAGCCAATGAAACCCTAGCAAAGCCATTTTGCATTTGATATGTACTCATATCTATGACTATTGATGGATGACTCTTCAAGGCCTTAATCTCTTTGGACTACATCCTATTGACCGACTCCGATACGTGACTACCCGTAAAATTGTTTCCTAAACTCCATCCCTCCAGAGAGTTCAGGTATGCTGTGTCCCTGCGCGGGTAAGAAATCCTCGATACATTCTGTAGGGCTCAAAATCATTGCATCAATAGACGGACAATACATGCCAAGTTCACATCGTATCTAATCAAATCGTTTTGGCGTCTTTCATTGGCAAAACCATCAATTCGCTGCAAGTCAGCCATTTTTGATGCTACACATGTATGTACGCATGCATGCCTGGGGTAGAAATCTTCGATCGATTGTACTTGTGTTTTCCCTGCATCTTCTCCTACATGCATGTATATCTCTCCTATCCTTTAAGCTTTTCTAGAAAACCATAGGGATGTTCATTAGTTGTATAAATTTAAGTTTTGCGACCGGGCAAAATAGCCGAATATCCTACCCGCGATAATTAAGAAAGATTTCTAGAAAAATAAGTTTCGAGGTTCAAGTCAGATTTGTTCGCTCGTTTTATAGCTTCTGGGTTGATATATCGTTTTTTAATATCCAAGCTATCACTGCTCTTCGGTTCATTCAAAAATGTAATCTTATGAATTTACCAAAGACCTAGAAATTGCTCGGAACATTCTTTAGATTGTAAAGGAAGCTTCCATACGACAATCTTTTTTATAAGTGAGGGCCAAACATATTATGCGTATATGTTTGCTTTTGTGACTGCGTCTGCAGTCCCATGTTGCCATGTTGACAACCTGGTTCTTGTTATGGCTTGGTGGTGTCATGTAGAACCCTGAATTCTGATCCGGGTCGGTGGCTAGTCACTCTATCTTGGTTGGGCCGTTGATTTAATATATATCCCAATCATCCACCAATCGCGGCATCACCGTACTTACCGCATTCAATGTAAAGCGTTGAAGTTAAACGGCAGATGTATCCTCAGTTACACAAAGAATATTTGGCTATACACCACCTGGTTGAATCAGAGGGAGGTTCTTGAAAAGTTAGTATCTACGTGAGCTTAATGATTCGAAATTGGCAGGAAAAGAGTTCTCGAAAATAGGGGCCATTGCTAAGGATCTCTGCATTTCCCCTGATAATTTTTCCTTGCTAAATTCGAAAAATCCAAATCAGTATCCTCGAAACCGTTTTCTAAGGGAAAGTTGAATATTCAGTATGAGTTGAAAAATCGATGTCAAAACGTCTAAAGGGTCGGCTGCGCCACTCTAAATCAACTCATGTCGCAGAATCTGTGACAGGAAGCATGCTCTGGCCCTCTTTCAATGGCAATTGCAACTTTTCCATCGCCTCTATCTATTTTGGTTATCCAAGCCACCACACATTTCCAAGACTCATGTGCATTCGGGAAGCATGATGGAAATTCGGAGAAGGCGCACCATTGATATGGAAGTTCCTATTCATTCAGGGTCTTGGTACCCTAGAGATGTTGATATCTTCCGGTGTATCGATGATTTCTTCTCCAATCAGATGGCGGGATAGATAGTTAATCGCCTCGGAAAGACGCAGGATGGTAGGTAGACATGTGGAGTATCTGAATCAAAATTTGATTCTGAAGCTTTTCTTTTGCTGGCTCCAACCATACGTTACACAGATACTTTCATGGATTAATTCATCTCAGACCTTTTGTTTTCTTCTTCTTTTTCGAACCGTTACTCTGGGATCCGATTTTTTGGACCAGATCACAGCTGGCAATTATGTCTAATTCCGCTTTGCACTTGCACATAAATAGTAATCCATCTCTGCATCACAAGAAGTTGAGGAGTGGTTTGAAAAATTGACAGGTAATCAGCAAAAATTGCAGCAAGAGTTCGTTTGCTCTTCTTAATTTTGAGTCTTGAGTTTCGGTCTATTTCTATGCCTATTCGAATTCGGCCTTTTGCAGTGAGTGCCTAGAATCTCTTGATCGAGTACTTAACGTTAAGGCTTTCCTTTGATGACCCATCAAATGTTAAATACACCCTGAAGTCACAGCCCCCTTAAGCACTGTAGCCTACATATAACTTTCTCATTCGAAACAAATTTCTCTTGACTTCCGTCCATCTTGTATCTTACTATCAAACTTCGATATCGAACATCATGCCTCAAGTTTTACCTGGTGATGTAACTGGCTTATACTATATTTTAGTCAGCAACCTCCCATGGTCATGCACATGGCAAATTCTAAAAGACTTCGCACGGAAACATGATTCTGAGGGACATTGCCTTGCAATCGAACATGCGCAGGTATATCCAGGGTCAACTTGTGGGTGGGTGACAGTGCGTGGAAAGGAGGACTTTCTCAAAGCACTCCGTAAGTTCTTCGATTATGAAGAGATAGGACTAACAGCCGCAGAGCATTTACAAGGTGGAACTATGGGAAATCGAGCGTTGTGTGCAGATGGCCGCAATGAAACAAAGCCGATTCAAGTGCGGGATCTTGCTATCCCGTGGACCACCTCAAACTCCTGCGGAAATGTTTCAAGGACAAGGGCACTCTCAATACCGACATCTTCGGTCTCATCAGCGTCTGCAATGCCAATTCAACAGATACCATTCGTTCAAATGGCTCCGTTAACCGAAGGCACATATATCTCTACTTCTACATCAGCCAAATTTAATGATCGAGGCTTGACTCAGGTAGAACTTCCCAAACCCACTGCCATGATATAAGTTAACAAGCTCAGATTCAACAGATACAAAGTATTGAAATGTATCCAAATGTGCCAGTACCGCTCAACTATCCATCTATGTTGTATGCCGGTGATATGGCACCAGATACGCCAGTATACATACAACCTTCTCCACAGTCATTCGCAGCATCTCCTATCTCTTACATGACTCAACGATCTGACAAAATGAAAATTGTAAGAAGCAAAGTCATCATTACCCAGCTTCCTCGAGAGACATCGACCTCTTACCTAAAAACTCACTTGTACAATGTCATAAAATCGAAATATCGCGGCAGTCCATCCACAGAAAACCCTCTTGATGCTCTACACAATATGATTATCGAAAAGCATCCAGATGGGAGGCAAAAGTGCCATACTTTCCTGAATTTCGACACGCATAACATGGCCCAGGATATGGTGGAAATGCTTGACGGTTTGGTATTTTGTGGAAAGGTTCTGCGGGTAAAGCTTGCAAAGGAAGGGGCAGAAACCAGAGAACGGCGGCAAGATATCAAACCCTCCAAAGCGAAACCTATAGCATCTCGGGGGAAGAAAGCGGGGAGACCCAAGGAGATCAGGGGGAGAAAGGTGAAGACAATGGAAGAAAGAGAGAGGGATAGAGTTTTGGCAGTCAGGTCTAGTACTGTAGCTGCAGTAGCTGCAGTAGCAGCGCGAGTCAAGACAGAGACAGATGCAACGGTGAAGTCACCTATGGTGGTGAACGGATCGACTCCGGAAAGTAACTTCAGGTGATTGACCAAACAGATACTTCACGGTCCTCGAGGCTGGTCCCATGAGGAACACTATGCATGGAGACTGTGACAATATTGATGTTTAGAGCAAGCGATGGTGGCTTTTTTTGAGTTTAGATAACCATAAACATATGGTACTGGCGAATTCGGTGGGTGGAATATATTGTGAGCATTTATGTTGACCACTGGTGGTCTTTTGAAAGTTTTGGAATTCATAGCGCTGTATTGTATCTTATGAGTCTATCTCAAGGTGGGCCTAGCGGGCGTCGTCGTTAATGTTCAGAGTGAACAGTAAAGGGTTGAAGTAGCTTACAATAGGATCTTTCTCATGTAACTTTGAAAAGTCTGGTTGTTTGCTACATAGTTCGTCTCCCTAACAATGATATCTTAAACACACAAGATGAGAATGCAAGATATCACAACCTTTTGCGACATTAAATTTCCCATGTTTATTCATCGCTGATCGGATCATAAGTCCAGAGATTCCAATAAGTCTCACCAATCGGAGATCATCGACTATGGCTCTCATCGTCGCTTGTACGATAGAGCGTTCTTCTCGAGAGGAAACCTCCATATAGCGAACATCCAGATTTACTCTCTGGCAGTTTGGGAGCTGTAAGAACATCATTTTTTGAAATGATAAGTATATCTCTGGTAAGTGATACCTGTGTTCCATAGTTGTACTTCTGCATTAGACGTATTCAGACCATGACCACGAAGATATTGCTCGGCTGATAACATTTGGCTCACTCTTACTTACTTGATGTATGTATTTACTTGAAGCAAAATTTTAATTCAAGCTTTTGTGAGGAAACATCGGACGAACTCCGCACTGTGGCACAATCAACATTTCAGTCCGAGATTATGCAAGATGTCCTGTCAGATTATGCAAGTACCCATCTTAAGACCTGCAACAAAACTTCCAGCACAGGCTGGCTGCGCACGTGCAGTATTCTCTGGTGGCGTGCCTCTTTTCCATCATTTCCAATATTCCTTGAACATTGTAATTGTGTTATTGATGTAATAAACTGTGACTGGCACCAAAGATATATAAGAGATGAGGAATAAGGAATGAGGAAGATACAAAAACAATGCTCATCACATGATATCACTCAAAGAAATGACTAAAACATTTGTTGCATATCTTGAGTGACGCTGCTGAATATTTGTTGCATGTCTTGACGATATTGTAGTTTTAGTCGTGCATGAAAAAGAAGCGCTTTACTGTGTTGGTAGTGGCAAGGACTATTTTTAGGGGGCTGGATGAGGAGGAAGAGAGATTAGATTGGCTGGGAGTGGCTGGGATGTAAGAAGCCGAGATTTATGCGACAGAAATGAAAAGATTGTTGAGTCTTTGGGTATTCATACCGGCTACTTCTTTTGAAAACACAGTGCCGTACTGTAATTGACGAAGAGGCGATGAGGTCTGTTCTGCTAACTACCTGTCTCACTGTTAACTACTATCTGCTAATAGCAGCACACTGACACTAAGGTCATCTCCATGCATCGTCACGATTGTGTATAACCTAGTGAGTGCATTGAGTAACTCAAAGTTTGGTTGGCTCAACTACTCGGGTATCTTCTTGTGCAATTAGTTCAAGGCTACCTAGGTATTGTTTTGCTTTGCCAGATTCTTGCAGCATTTGTTGCATATCTCACTTACTTCCTGCAGTATCGACCCAATGAGGCGGGATCAGAATGACTACTCTTGTGCGAGTACTTTTCTGAAGAGGCTAGATTTGTACCTTGTATGTGTGTACGGAGTAGATGTAGACGGACTTAGATGTCGTACGATTGGCGAGCGAATGACATATTCTCAAGAGTACAGTCGAAAGCTGATACACCACAACGAAACGATGATTGTGAAGGATCTTCAAGAGCGCTTTCCGCAATGATGATAATCTGATATCGTGCATACGTAACAGGAGCTTTGGGGTGAAATTTGAAAGGACCTTTCCAACGCCGAGGAATGTTGGAGTGATTGAGTGAAGGGATGAACCGAGTCTCCCTGCGACTATCAGTCCAAGCTTCCAAGTGCCACCCTAAACTCTGAATAACATTCGTACTATACCCAACATAAATACCAGAGTAATACATATTTTCATTAGAAATGTTTGAACTATCTGTGCATATATTGGTTCTTCATATCTTGTCATGGACATTTCAGTATCAATACTTATGCTGTAGTTACAATCCTCAATCCTTGATTGTGATTCACCAACCCCCTCTCATCATTTTTCCATGGTCGCGCAATATGCGCATTTACGTGATGTGGATGTCCTTGAGGCTCGAGATGCCCAAGCCAAGCTCACGCTCCTCCACATACATTCCACCAGACAACCAACCACCATTATTTTGTACTTCGTACTTCGTACATACAAGATGCGTTGACAGTACCATTTGCCAACTACTAGTTTAGGTTTCTTTTACGGCATGTCTCTTGAGATGGTTGTAACTTTAGATTAGACACCAATCTATTACTACTACCGAGGTGTCTATCTGTGTTTTGTATTTGGCGTTGTACCTAGCCACAAATACACAAATCATATCCATCGGGTTGAACCTAAAAACATCTCATGACTTAAAAGTTAACGGCTGTTTCATTACTTTAACCCATTCTTCAAACCAGAAGAGATAAGTTCGTTCATATAACCCCACTCACTACAACCCTACCAAAAGAAATCTAGTCATCTAACCAGGGGGTCGGGTCCTATATCCCGTCCCTTTCTTAAGCTACCAAAGTTGTCGAAACTCGAAGATAAACTTTCAGAATTCTTGTGCACAGCACGAGGGATTATATTCAAAATCTTCATTCCTACTTATCTAGATCTTGCCTGGAGATATTACATGTCAATATCATCGACATTCGTAACACACAAGTCTGACGGAACCATACTTGGATGATCCTTTGAAGGCACATCACTCGACCCTTCATTTCCTCGCATGAAGAAGGAAGGGAGCAAGGTTATTTATTATTCATACTCGGTACCAATAACAGATTGGATATAAACGGCAAGAGCATCCGAGACAAGTTTATGCCGAGAATTTCATTATGCCAAATCTCCAATCTCCTGTCCCTGCAGCACAGGGCAAGATACAGCCCCAAACACATCGACGAACACATTCCTTAACCCCAGATACAGCTCGAACGGTCTCAACATTAAAGACAGCATGGGCGGAGACCCAATTTGCAGATGAGGCATCTGGAGAAACAAACCAAAACAAGATCGAAGCACCTGCTCCCTTACCAGCGACTGCGGCCCTCACTGCGAGGAATACTCCATCAACGGCTAATGAAGGAACAACTCCTCCGCGACCAGCTCGAACACACCAACGCTCCCTTTCACAATTACTACCTTCCTGGAGTACGCGTCAGACTTCCCAAGCTACCAACGGATCGGCAGATAATTCACCAACCAAGGAGGATATACCATTCGAATACATGGCGTCGTTGACTGGAGATAAAGGTGGTCGAGCAAGAGTTTCCACAAGGAAAAGCGGTTGGTTTGGGGGATCTTCGGCTCCAGAAGTTACAGGATCGGAACAAGATGAACTGGACTCGAAAAAGGCATCTGCTAGAGAACCTTCGCCAAATCGAAAGCTCGAAAGAAGGGGAACTCTCCCTGTCCTCGATTCCAAATCTACTCCTGCGAAATCAACCGGCGTCTTCGGCTTCTTATCTTCTTCAAAGGCTTCTGCTCAACCAATTCAACTACCTTCAGATCTGGACAACGACGAGTACATCAATCTCGATATCCAATCTTCACTATTTCCATCCGGTCAAATCGACACTTTCTCCCCTGCTGCCTTCAAGAACCTTCGCGTTAATGCCGAGGGCGTCATACAAAAACTCCAGAACGTATATAAACTTCGCACTATCCAATACAATGAAACGAGAGCTGAAAAGGATGCACAAGAAGAAGAATTAGAAGAGGCCGAGACTCGCGCCAAATTCCTTAAACTCCAACTAGAAGATATGGTCAAGAAATTCAATGAACAAGATACCACTATAGAAGAATTAGTTAACCAACTTGCCGAAGAAAAACTGGCTCGTGTGGAAGAGAGAGATCAGTTTAATGCTCAGATCAAAAGGAGGGAAGAAGAGGCGAGGATTGCACAACATCGTGCAAGCTGTTGTTCGACGGCGGGAGAAGAAGATCTAGGCATTCCTCCAGATATAAGAGCTAAATGGAGGAAAAGTACAGGTAGTGCTGACTTGAGCGGCGAAAGTGACGATGACATGGCAAGTGGCGGAGGTGAAAGTGTCTTCTCGAGAAGCCGGAGTCCCACACTTACAGTCTCGACTGTCATGACAACCAAAGATAGTACAAGAGACAGCATCCCTGATGTTCCTTCAACGTTTGGACGTGTTGGAGCTTTGCAAAAGGATGCTCAACTAAACAATAATCCCACGATAGTCGTTCCTGCCAAACCAAAAGCTCAAACTTCAGCTTTCAAAAAAATGCTAGGTATTGGCTCTGGCGAATCAAGTCCTACAAGTGGATGCGCAAATTGTAGTGGTCAGGGAGCATCGATGGCATGGGATACTGTGGGTTTGTTAAGAGCTGAAAATAAGACTCTAAAAGATAGAGTCAACCTAATGGAGGGAGAGATCGAAGGGGCTTTAGACATATGCGGAGGTCTGTTTCCTGTCGGGTCTAGATTATGAGAAGGACAATTGACAAAAACAAACATATATTATCAACTAGCTTGAAAAAAAGCTCGTTTCGACTTGGGCATCACCAGGATGATGAAATCCACAAGAACGACCAAAAAATAAATACACCAATGACGACAATGACCAACCAGCGGACTCAATAGCAGTCTCTATTATACCCCTTCTTGTTCCTGATATTTTTTTCTTTTCTTCTTTTTTTAGTTTGCATGTCTCTCATGCACTCTGCTACCCATTGGATGGCTAGCTTCATAGTGTTGCTTATGACTAGCTGCGCTCTCTCAACCTTTGGACATTTTCTTGGAGCTGAACTTGGATGTGTTTCT